GGATTTCGTAATTCCTTTTTTCTATATGGTGTTAATCCTCTATTTTTTTCCATTTTCTGTGTAATGCCTCGTTTTTCTCCATCAAATCCGCTGATCTCCATTGCTTCGTTGAATACAATGGTACTAAAATCAGGATCCTCATATGTAGAATTGCTTGGCTTATATTTTACAAACAATCTATTTTCAATCGCGTTCTCAACAATTGTATAATTATTTTCTATATTCTCACTTAGGTTTTTAGATGTATTTTTATTATTTGCATATCTCTCGATGGTCTGTTTGAATTGGTTAAAAGAGCAATTATTACGATTTGCTTGTAAAACTCTTGTGATATATTGCAAGAGATCTTGATTATTTTCTATTTTAGACAGTAAATCTCGATATTGTGCCAATCTCTTTATGATAGGATGTGTAACTGCAAAATCTTGTTTGGATTTCAAAACAAGATAGAATGAGATATTTGTGCAATAATGCAATATTATATCATATTTAACTTTGATGAATTTTGAAACCAAGGTATTATTATAATTAGGGTCGTTGAAAAAGCTCAAAAATGGTTCTAATGCTGTTTTTGCTTCGGCCAATCTTTCTGAAATAAAGATAAATACATTACATCATATTTTAATGCAGTTCAATAATGATGAAACTAATAGTAGTATTATAGTTTTTTTTTTTTTTTAGAGGGAAGGGAAATGCCTTGATGCACACCGCAAAGACAGTCGAAGTGTGGGACTCAAAGGATTTTTTTTTGTTAAACCACTACTTAATATCCACTTAAACCCCCCTTGCCGCGTGGCTTTAAATCAATCATTGGAACCGTGTCAGCATTACTTCAAGGTAGGGTCTTCGGTATATCATTGTATATCACAGCATTCGCAAAAGAGCTCGCCAACAGTTGCTAGAGGTGCCGATTCTGAAAAGGACTCAGGGTCCCTGAGAACCATCACCCTTCTCTAGCCCTCTTTCGTAGGCTACATTAATTGCAAGCGCAACTATGTGCTTGAGGCTTTCCATAGGTGCGGTAACTAAACGTCCTAAGCGCAGTGTGGGTCAGCAGAGACTCCTCTGTGGAGCCTTGCTTCCATGTTTATGTCTGACTTAGGTCTCTTTTCTAATGGTTACACCTGCCACACCGGAATCACAGCTTATAGATCTATCTATCCCTTTGCATTATGACGCGACATGTCCAATACTCCTCGCAGAGGAAGTATCTAGTCACGTGTTTAATATCCTTTTAACACGGCCAGAGATAAATCCAACTTTAATCTTGCCTACCTGCTCTGCTATTTACGCTACCACCAATATTTGTCCTAGAGCATTTGCTAGGAGTTGGACCTTCACGTCTTTATTAAGGTTTCCAATGACGTTCTTAACGGATTTCTTATTTCTTAAAAATACATCCAAATCTCGGCTCTCAAGCGTACCCGAGAGGAAATAGTTTCTGAGTTATACATTGCAACCAACTGCATCCAACTAGGATAAACAGAGCCAAACTGTGGCCAATTTGAACATTTGGTACAGTTTGGCTTATTATAGCACAGTTTACTTCAAAACAGTGCAGTTTGACTCAGTGTGGCCTAGATTACAGTATCGAATTATACAACGTTAGACTTAAACTTTATTATTTTAGTTTGTACTCGTGCAGCATATAGTACAACTCAGTTTAGAAAAATAAAGCATAATTCGACTCATACATAGGCTCAGCCTGCATTAGTTAGGCTCAGATTGGCGCAATTACTTAAGCGCAGTTGTTCCAATGAATTATTATTGTGCAGACATGCTCAGTTGCAAGATAAAACCCGGATTTCCAGCCGTTTTCTAAGTGATTTAAATAAATTTCAAGGGCAATTTAAATTAATTTTTTATTCAATCAAGGGCAGTCCACATTGATTTTCTAGAAAATTAAGGTAGATGACGCGATCCTTGCGGATCTTCTCGTTAATCCAGTTAAGTTCTTGAAGTTGAAGTGATTATGCGTCCGTTTGGTAACTTTCATAAAAAAAGTCAAGTTTAAGCGTTATGACTTATTTAGTGTCGTTTTATTAACTTTTACTTATTATATTTTAATACAAATGAATTATGCGTACACTATTGATGTGAAGTCGATGGATTATGTAAAGTGTGTTGATAATCAACAAAAACTATTTGTATCAACTATAAATTATTCAGATTTATGTTGGCTATGTATATTAAGTAAAACAAAGGATAAAATTTTATTATAACAATTTCTCGAGATGCGTTATAATTGGTCATATTTATGCACTTGAACATGCTTGCACAATGAATACATGTAAAATACGCGTATAACGAATTATGGCTTTTATTCTTTAAACATTTCACTGCTAATAAAAAGCAGCTGATTTATCAGCTGATTTCTGATGCCAAATCGTCAGCTGATTTTTCGACTGTGCAAAAAAATACAAGTCCTATCAAAGCAAAAAATACAAGTCCCAAAGGAAAAAATTTTTTTTTTGCCATTATCAAAACTATGCATTCTGGAACGCTTACAGGAGAGTGAGGGATAAAGGGGAAAATTAGATCCGTGATCTGAGAAAAGTTAAATTAGCTGATTTGTGATGCCAAATTATCATCAGATTTTTGTATATTATCTTTTCTTCTTTCTAAACTTTTTTTACAAACAATCATTATTTATTTGTATCAACAATACGAAGCAAATAAGTAAGTTGATAACAATACTATAGAATTAATATTTGAAAAAAGAAATCCTAGTACCTAAATACGAAAAAAACACAAGTCCCAATCAAAAAAATGAGAACATTGTGTTTTCAGTTATTTTTAGTTTAATAATCTATCATGATTTTATAATACTCATTTCATAATGTAGAATATTGAAACATTTTTCTTATAAAAATTTTGTTTATTGCAGGCATCTGCAGCTATTGCCAAAAAGTTGATTCCACTCTTTGACAGAGTACTTATTCAAAGAGCAGAAGCGATTACTAAAACCAAAGGTGGTATAATGATTCCTGAAAAAGCCCAAGGAAAAATTCTTAGGGGTACTGTTATAGCGATTGGTCCAGGGTCAAGAAACGATGTAAGTTTCCTGACAATCTTCTAAAATTTGCTTAGAAATAGTCATTTATCAATCATTTACTATAATTTTTTTAGAGAGGAGAACATATTCCACCAACCATCAAAGTTGGAGATTTAGTTTTGCTTCCTGAATACGGTGGAACCAAAGTTGAACTTGAAGACAATAAGGAATTCCATTTATTTCGTGAATCTGATATTTTAGCAAAACTAGATGAATGAAGTTCTCTGATAAAGTATAATCTTACTTTTTTTGCTTAATTTTAAAACAAAAATATGTAAAGTGTGTTTTCAATAAAATTTTTTTTAATTTAATTTACCACATTAATAAAATTGCAAGTAAATGTGTGTAATACACTTCCAAACTCTAACACTATGGCACAGTTTTTATTAAAATGTATAATTCATTTATTAAAAAAAAATATTTTTATTTGTCAGTAGTAAAAGCTTTATAAAAATGTGTGAGAATTAATGTATTAGAACAAATCATTACTTAAGTTTGATACTTTTTGAAATACTAGCTTTAATACCAGACTTTTCTCCTGTGTACCTTTTAGTTTTTTCTCTTATTTCTCTGACCTAGAAAGATTACTGTTATTAGAATAAATGTTAGTTATAATGAGTTATGTGAT